GTGACTGGACCTCCTTGGGTGTGTAATGGATCACATGACGTGGTAGATATGCTGTCGTCTTGATTCCCATCATATTCTTTATCAAACATTAACCACTATTGTTCTACATATATTAAACATCAATAAACTCTTTAGGATCTTTATTATATCAAAAGGTAATAGCAATCCTTGTTATTAATGAGAATTGTATGATGTGATAGCAACATTCTTAAGTTGTCCAATAGTTATATATATCATTGAGATGGGACATTAATGATATAAAGACTATCCTGTGTAACACTTTGCTAGGTGGCAAGACTTCTTCTTATGAAGCCATGTATCACATATGGGTGACTCAAAGCAAGTGAGTATATTGGACTCACTCGCCATGAGAACTCTCTATGTACATGTCATTAGTAGCTTCTTAACTATGATGTGAGTGTATGTGATTCTTTGACTTGAGATCATCATTATTTTATGTGATAACTTATGTATTTTGATGCTATTAAAAACAACCACTTTGAAGGGTGCAAGTAATACAATTTATTGGGTGTATCACGAATTACATGATAATAATGTGCAAGATAAGATTCATTCCTCTAGTTTATGAGAGAAGATATCTCTAGCCCTTTGATTGAGATTAGACTACTTGCATCAAGGCCATGGCATGAATCAAAGAAAGATATATCAAGCTTCAAGGATGATAACATATAGCATGCATCTTGCTTTATGGAGATATTGGTGATAAAGGGATTGAATTACATAGGTATCGGTCGTAGGAAGGTTTGTTGAGGCCATCGATTCTTTTTGTCACTTTGGGTGGCCATGAAGTGTTGTTAGCTATCACTCTTGGTCTATGAGTGTTTCTCATTGCCATTGTGATAGAAACTTAAAGGGTAACACATTTGGTTTATTTTGGGGATTGCAATTTCTATAAATCCAAATTTATGAATATGGATTAATTTATGTGAAAATAGTATTTTCACAATAAAATAAATTAATTAAGATCCAAAATAAATTGGTAGAAATAATTAATTTATTTAAATTATTTTAAGTTTGGATTTGCTCTAAGGACAAAAAAAAATTCAAAGTGACAATTAAGTCCTTGAAGAACTATATGGCCAAAGCCCTAGCCCATTGGGCTTAGGGCTTGAGTGGCATAATAGGCTTGGAGCCTTGGTCAAAACTCATACTCTATATTGGACTGGGGTGTGCGGCAAGAAAGGAAAATTAAGGGAAGAAAAGTCTTCTCCTTCTAGGTTTTCTATTTTGACTTGAAGACTAAGTTCAGTAATTTTAATTAGATTAAAATATGTAAATGTCATGCCCCAAAATCAGAAGTAAAACAGACATCGTACACCTATAAGTTGGTCCCATAGTGTACAAGCCTCCAAACCTATTTAATATATTATGCAACAAACCATATGATGGGAATCAAAATGACCCCACATGTACCATGTCAAGAGATCCATTACATATTCTAGGAGGTCTAGTCACGAGAGCTAGAGCTAAGAAGATGCGAGAAGATTTAAATGGCCTTATTGAGCAGATCTGGGTTGATAACAACATGCACAAGTAAATAAAAGCTTGGATGATTATCAAGGTATGATAAACATTATTCAGGTTGAAGAGAAGTTTAATTGAGGTCATTTATGCTAAATTACACAGTTTGCATCAATCTCGCAATTCTGTCGCAATTTGTAACAAACTGATATTTCATGTTGCTTTAGGTTACTTTTAGTGATTTTCACATTTTTTTAATATTATTTTGGGCTGAACATTCATTTATTTAAGGCCCAATTCGTGGTTATTATGATTAGGGCTTAGGGTGTTAGTTTCCTATTCTAATTAGAATTACTTTTCCCTATATAAGGGGCTTGTAACCCTAATTGGAGGAGAAGGCTATTGAATCTGAGATTTTGAGAGACTTTTCTCTTTGGTTCGTTTCAGAACTTTACAGAACTTATCAAGATTATTCTTGTGGTGTTCTAACTTGACTTATCATTCTCATTCTTAATCGTTCGAGGGTGTGGTGTCAACCTACTTTATACCTCTGGTTCTTGTTGCGTCATAGACAACGGGTCAAGGTTTTTACCTTCGGTTCTTGTTGCGACATAAACAACGGGTCAAGGTCTTATTATAAACCTGATTTAGCTTTCCTGGAGTTTAGAAATCCCTTGTCGTGCTGTGGGTCTCATTGTTCTCTTTGGAGTTCTCATCACCATATCTTCTAATAGTCCATTATAATCCATTATGGAGAAAATAAAATAACTTATACAATCTAAAAATCTATAATTGAATCTAACCAAGTTAAATTATGCATAAAACCAAAATCTAGTCTCGATTCATTAATAAGTGAACTACCCAACTAGCACGTCACCCAACCTAATCCCAAAGTCTCAAGTCTTGTTACTTGAAATAGTGGACAAGAAAAAAAAAAAAAACAATGTGAGATAATTTAGTACGTAAATTATGGGTAGTCCCACTTTAATTTAAAAGAAAGCATGCTGGATACAGAACATCAAATAGTTCTTTTAGTGTCAATCTAGTTATGAATAATACTATCTTTTAATGGTTTGCTCAATTAGTCATAGCTATTGTTTACACTCCCATTAGTAGGATAATAGAAATAAATAGTGTTTACGCTCCATTGGCAAGATAACAAGATTAACTAATATTTACACTCCCACTGGGAAGATAATAGGAATAACCATTGTTTACACTCTTATTGGCATGATAACTGGAATAATCAGTGTTTACACTCCCACTGGCAGGATAACAAGATTTACTAAAATAACAAGTGTTTACACTTCTACTGGTAAGATCACAAGAATTACCAGTGTTTACACTCCCATTGACAAGATAATAGGAATTACCAGTGTTCACATTTTTATTGGTAGAATAATAAGAATCATGATAGAATTGAAGACAAAACGATGTAGGCATTTAAATAGGAAACATAATTCAAATTGTTTCAATAACTATATCTCATGGAACAAGCATGCTCAAGCTTCAATGATTAACAATTATAAAACTTAATATCAAACCATGTCCTGCTTATATCAACATAAATCAAGTTAGGTCCTACCACCACCTCAAAACAATCTAAGAGATACTTTTAAAACCTTAGTTTAAACCATTAGCATGACTGTAAATTTACTTACCTTACTTTATAGAGGATTAAGATTCCTCAAGAACCAAGAATTTGGACATCAAAGATATTTAAGAAATAGAGAGTAAAAATATAGCCAAGGACTGTGAAATTGGACACGAGATCAACAAGAGCTTGAGGGCAAGATCTACTTAAATCATAAACTGGAAATTTTAATTGAAATTGCACACTAAAATCTATTGAACTGGGCTAAATGCTTAATAGATCAATTGTAACTCTATGTCTTAGCTTTCTATAAGATCAAGAATCACCTTAATTCGAAATCTATAGAGGAGATTATGGCCATATTACTAACACAAGGATAGACAACCAATTTCAGTCACCCTCAGGAACCAAATCTTTTAGTTGTGTTTTCAACTTAATAACAACTGAACTAGGTTGAACATTCAACAGATAAATAGTAGGGCTATCTCTTAGCTTTCTATAAAATCAAAATTTGCCTTCATCTGATATCTATTGAAAAAGTTATGGTCAGAATACGAACTCAAGGTCAGGTTATCAATTCAAAATTTCAGTAGCCTAGTCATGGTCTAAATCATGCCAAAAAAAAAATAGTGTAGTTTAAGAACAGGAAAAATGTTGATTTTCTTTCGACAAAGCACACTATTGGGCCTAAAATCTAACTAAAACCTAACATAACAAGGTTGAAATAGTAGAATTTGTGTACATAATTGAGCCATTTACAAGAAGTTTTAAAGCAGAAAATAAAGGCTTCTCAATAGGATTTTCTAAGCAAGACAATAGAGAAACAACAGCTAAATAAATTGGAAATCAAGCTTGGAACTGTTGCTACTTACTAAATTTCCCAACAAGGGACACCAGATTTGGCAACCACAGAACTGATAGAATTAAAAGAAAAACTATGAAAAATTATCCCCAAAATCAAAGATAACAAAAGATTAGAGTTAACCCAACTAAATCAAGAATGAAAAGATGAATTGTGGTCTTTTTTTTTTTTTTTTACTAGAAAAGTTGTAGAAAGAACACCCATTGAGTAATCAACCATGGGCAAGAAAGGAAGAACGGACAGCAGCAATCTTTGATATTTTCTAGTAAAATATCAACTTGTAAGTGGAAATTATGGGTTCACAAGACAAGGAAAAATGAAGTCTTTACCTTAATTAGAAGAAGAAGAAGAAGCATCGTAGAGAGACTAGGAGGTTAACGGCTTCAAGGGTTTTGGAATTAGAATAGAAGAGAAGAGGAAACCCCAAATAAAGGAATTAGGTTTTCGTTGAGCTTATATTGTTCGTCCTTCTTTCTCTCCCTTTCCATTTTTTTTTTACTACTAACATCCCCAAATTTGAACAGTTATGCAACTTGGTTCCCAAAAACTTCCTTTTGATTAATCATCCCCACCTAAATTAATTAATTAATTGTTCAACATAAGTCTTCTCGAGAATTTAAGTGCTCAAAATTTGGGATATTATAGTAAGTCTTCTATTCTCTATCAACATAAATGAATGTAAAAAACCCTATATCCCATATGATGGATAGTTGACTGATTAAAACTTCTTTTTGGTCCCTTTACTTTAGCAAAAAGACCATTTTTAGTTCCTCTATTTAAAAAAGTTGATTTTCCCTAAAGTTTAAAATCTGACCACCTTTTGGTCCTTCCATTAAATTATTGGTTAAATACCCTTTTTGGTCCCTTTACCATAAAAAAAGCTCCTTTTTAGTTCTTATACTGAAAAAAATCCCCTTTTTGGTCCTTAAAGTTTGAAATCCGATCCCTTTTTAGTCCCTCCCGACTCCTTTTTAGTCCCTCCCGACTCCTTTTTAGTCCCTCCATTAAGTTTTGGCTAATGTGGCTGGTTAATTAATGGAAAAACTTATTTTTTTTCTTTACTTAAATTATGCAGAAAATCCATATGGGCAAAATTGATGACATGGCCAAAATTTGTCTAATATGAACTTAAAATCATTTAATTGATTATAAATATTTTAAAGGTTATTTTGTGATTAGAAGTACTTGACTTTAATTGTTAATTTGCCCCAATCTTCTTCCCCCTTCTGTCTTATCCTTTCCTTC